CTTTGGGTTTCCTAATCCTATATTTTTCGTTTCCTTTGCGGAATTGTCGTGCGGATGATTCAATCGGGTCGATATAAATCGACCGAGCGTGAGAAACGCACCTGGCCATCGCCGCACAATAATGTTCCCTTCGGATTTGGAATTTTATTCGATTAATACAACCGTACATAACGGCTCACTTCTCACTTTCGTTTAAGGCTTCGCAAACACTTGGAAATAAGGCTAATCCCAAATGTCGTGGGTGGATTGAAGAAGCCGTGCATCGTGCGAAATATAAAAAGTTCGATATTTTAAGTAAGTCAGATGATTTTTTTAAGCAAATAAATTCATACACGGCTGTGAGAAGAGCGAAAATGTTACGGACCTTTAAATTCAAAAGGTTGAAACTAAAGTCTGCGCTGAAAAGGGCGGCGCAAACAAGAGAATAAACGACGATTGCCGTCGATTCGAACTGGTCCTCCTACCCAAATCTTTTTTTATGAGCTCTACACGTGCCGGATATCAATCCGTGCGACGAAGCGCTTCCTTCTTTTGTTCGTCATTTCGTATTCATTCGTCGGGAAGAGATAATGGTTCAAAGCTGTGTCCACAATGAAGCCGGCACCAATTGCCTCCTAGCTGCACGCTCGCAAGCGCGTTTACACAGAGAGACCGCGTTCCATCCGCGATTTACGAGCGCCCGTTGAGAGAAAAAAAAGAAGGGAAACGAAAGCAGGTCGGAATAAGAATTACGAGGAATTAAGAATAATATTTTTACTTCTGCCAAACGTTGCCGTTCCGCGCAACGCGCGCTACCGGCTCGACGCGCGCGCATCAACCTGCTTTGTATATCCGAAACCCTAACGATTATCCCACGAGAATAAGCGCTCGTTGATTTCATCTCCTGGAAGTCGTTCGCATTATTATTACGACGCCGCGAGCGCTTGCTTTCTCGGTAATGACTCGCATTTAGCTGCACCGACGCTATTCAAGAAGATGCAAGACGGCAGCTTCCGCGTTGCTGAATGTATTCCGAGAACTCGTTCTTCAGTCGATTGTAGAGACTCATCTCGAATCCGGACGTATATTACGTGTTTTTACAACGCCAACCGTTATAACATAAAAATTATTGCAATGCTGCGCGACGGATTTATTGTGAATATACGCGTGAATGCAACAATTACTATAATAATTATTATAATTCAATAAGATTGTTGCGATTAAGCACGAAACTGCTACTTCGAAATGGATGCGCAACGCAAAGACACTGCAGATCTTTCCGTTGTTTGTGGAAAGAGCGCGATCCCGCTGCATCTCTGCTCTTCTTCATCATCCTAGTTTTTCATTACTTCTTCCACATGGCTGTGCCACCACGAGGCAGATGTTTCACGCTACAGCGGAGTTCGGTCAAGTGTAATGCTCTCGTATCACGCGTGTGACATAAATTTTACCACAATCACGCATCTGCGATCTACGGAGTATTTAGAATGCGCGTGGAGATATGCGAGAAATGCCTGGGAAAGGCCGGAATTACGAAAGTACGACAGTCTCGTCCGACGACTGACATAAAAATGGACTCTCGATCGATACTCGTTCTTCTCCCTAGACAAAAACTGTCAAGAAATGAAGTAAATATTTTCTGAAAACATTTATCACACATCGCATTTACTCTAACAATATTTCAGATATATAAAGTTAATTTTCAAAGGCGATTGTTATTTTAACTCGCGACTGCCGTTCTGCTTACTCTGCCCTATATTGTCTATTATACAAAAGTTTACTTACAGAAAGCATCCACTTCATACGAACAATATGAGGATATTCATAATACTGCACACAGAAAAATGCATACTGTATTTAAGTAATGATTACTTGTTTTAAGTATTTTATAAGTTCATATATCCGCAAATCTATCGTAAGTTCATCATAAGCATCAATTTTATTCAAAATATATTTTGATCCCAGTAAGTTTAATACTTTAATCAAGAATATTAAATTTAAAAAAGAATTCTATTTGCTTATTAAATTAACCAAATCTGACTTTTCTTCGATACAATTTTACAATATTCTTCACCAAAAAATAATTACTTCTTTTGAGTGATGAGTATATTTTAAGACTATTATCAAGAAAATATTCTTTATTAAAAATAATTGTTACTTAAAAAAAGAAAAGTAAGCCGAGTAATTACTTTTCTTAGCAATAGAATGATATTTTTCTGTGTGTAGATCTATAGACATCTTAATTTCATACGAGACAAGTGCTCGTAAATAACTATGTTGCTTTGTACACTGTAAATGGAGCGAATGAAAAAGGAAATACACTATCCCTTCTATAGAACGGCATCGCAGAGATCACGGATTAAGATATTCTTCAGTTCTAAAACGTCGCGCGATCGTCTTGAAATGAAACGTGTGAAAGTCAATACGTTGTGTGCACTGATTGAAGGAGCGAGGGGGGCCGAAGAATGACGGTAGAATGATTCTTAGAGCAAGGTGACAGCCGACACTTTTTTTTCCCAATTAGACGTTTAATAAGATGAATTAAGTCAATTAAAGAAGAGTCAGTTGGGTGCAATGGCATCGGGCGCCGGCACGCCGCTGTGTATTTTACGGTCGTCATCGCCGTCGTACATTTTCAGTCGACGCGACGTCGCCAACTGGGCGAACGAGGGGAAAGAGGAAGAAAGAAAAGAGGAGAACCGCGGCAACGCGGAAACACGACGTCTCGGCCCGGCTTGCTCGCGATGGCTTATCGCCATGCGCGCTCCTTCGCGTTTCTCTCGTGTTTTCTTTACATTTTTCGCGCGATCCCATTAGCTCATCGAGCCGTGGATATACATATAAAAATTGCAGCGCGAAAGTCGACGAGTGATGTTGAAGTTTGCGGACAAACGGGTCCCTCCTTCGATCTAATCATCGACCAAAATAATTAAATCGCCGTGCACATTCGCGAGCGTAATCATCCGCGTGAGATCATAATCGTTTCCTGTCGTTGAAGAAATGCGTCGTTACCTCCGCGCTATCTGCAATACGCGTGTACGCGCAAAACTGTTTCACGGAATGCTGACAGTAGAAATAAGCAGATAACGAATCAAACAAAACACGAGCGTGCGATGAAACCAGATAACCGTAGACGTAGTAGGACTGCTCGCTTCCTATCTCTACGCCTAAGCGGCGGGCGTACAAATTTAGAAAGAGAACGCAATGTTTCAACGGAATCTCTTTTCAACTTCGCTGGGAGGGATAGCATGTAGACGAGTAAGAAGCATGACTCCGAGCACACACGTTATTTACCCATATTATCTTTTTCTATTAACGCCTCTCTTCTTTATACGTGAGAGAGAAAACGATTCGAAGCTTCCTGCCTCTTTCTAAATTCTCGACACTCTTCGAACGACATGAGCAGTCTATACTTTTACTACGTCTCTACGTAATACGAACTCACGATTATAAATTCTACGAATAGGTATTGCAAATAAGATTTCAATCGGGAGAAAATAAATACACTTGCGTCGTACATATTGCGCATTATTGCGAAACATTCCGCGTTATCGTGATTTAGTCTGCAAATCATCGTATTGGATTAACGGTAATAATTCCACGGGATTCCCTCAATCCTATCAAGTTTCCGACGCAACTGCGTATCGTGGATCTTGCACTGAAATACATTCGCATTAAGCTTTTAATATTTATCTTTTTAATATTTATCTGTAGAATTCTCTCAGTCCCGAGTTTGCGATGCAAACTCTGTTGCATTACTTGTGCAAAATATTACGCAATTGTGTTTGCATTAAAGTATGCTCGCATAAAAGTCTGAACGGCGCAGTTTCAATATCTAAAATAATTTAAAAGCGAGATCTTTAAATTCCGACAACACAAATGTCAGGAAAGTGTTCTAAAAATATTTAAAAAGACGTTTCAATTTTTTCAAATATTTTTTAGAATTTTCAGGACATTTTTTAAATACGAATTCCATGTGTGATCAGCGCTCTTTGTTTCCTTTTCAATGTTACCATGGAGTATCGTGATGAGGTAATGCGTTTCGAATGGAAGAAGTAAAGCCCTCATAGTGCACGCCGTAAAGGGTGTTCGTAGGACCGTAACGATTTTTTACCACAATGCTAAACGGGATGACGTCAAGCGTCACACCTGGTATCGATCAGACGCTTCAAAAATAATAATAACGACGGAGAAAAAGGATCGTACTTCGCGTTCGCCAGCTTGATCTTATCGCGAATCGATTATTCAGTCAGGTAAATTAAACGAGGAAAGACGAAACAATTCGCTGACGATCCGTATAAGCATTCGCAATCCGGGCAAATATTATTATTCTGATCGGAAATCAACGATCGTAAAGACTTATTCAGATTGTTCAAATTTGTAATATACTTCAATCCCAGACTTCATATTATTCAAACGTCAATGCACGCCCTACAATCTTCTTACAATCTTGCCGTTCCGTAGATTTAACCATTTGAATGCCAAGCATAATTGCGCTTCTGTTTTATGTAGAAAAGTGCATTCGGTGAGCGGCAGCCCCTCTGCCTCTCAGGAAGTTAAGTTAATCTTTTAGTCATACGGGGAAAAGAGGTTACACTAAATTGTACGACCTTTCGTAAAAGCTTTCCTCAAATATTCAGTTGAATAATGAATACGAAATAATAGCGCGATAATGACATTTTCCGACATAAATAAGAAAAGCGCGACCGCCTTCGACGCTGAAAGGGTTAAAACGCGATAACGATCGCAATTACTCGCGTGAGCGCCGATAATAATGTGGGCAAAAAGTGAGATAACTGCTAAACAGCAGGTCTGTTTAACACCGCATCTTTCATGCTCTCTGCATTTGAAGCAAAACAAGTGCGACGTAAGGTCTGCGCGTGGGAAAAAGACGCGGAAACGAAAAACGTATAATAGAAAGCGCATGCACAAAGCGCGATCGATGCGATGTTGTTATTTCACCCTTGTCCAAACAGAATTCTTTCGTAAACTGCCAGCTGAAAGTAAAATAAAGCGCGTACCTTGCACGGTTCTTTGCTCCTCGTGCGGCAGAAACCGGGCATCTTGATCCCGCCGATCGGTATCTTTTTCTTCGGCTTCTGCTCCTCGGCTTCGAGATCGGCCGCAGGTGCGGCACCGGTGTGCTTCGTGTTTTCGGCGTTCAGCATCTTCTCCCGCTCCTCCTCGGCGATCTCCTTTTTATCCATGCTTTTGTATTGTTCCTGATCCGCTTCACTCATTCTCCGCTCCTGAAATCGGGAGCAGAGAAAGTTAGTTTAATTATACTTTACGCGCAGATGTTCAATTTAATTTGCCGGAATGTTCAGCATTTAAATAAAATATTATTTAATATTTGAAATATCATCGATAAGCGGCGGTCGCGTGTCGAGCCTTTTGCTAAAAAAAAAGTAATCTCCAAATTCAACAGAGTCATCGACTGGAATGTTGCGCGGCGTCTGGAGCACTAATCATATTCAATTGCTATTCAACAGTCACTTGTTATGCATGAGAGTGACACAGTAGGCGATAATTTCTTCTCCTTAATAGCCGTTTTAAAGCACGCTAATCCGCTTGAGTACGAAGCCGAAATATTATATTAAACATTCGCCTTCTACGCGAAATTATAAGATTTTTCCAAATAGTTGGAATAAAAAGTTTCTTCTGATCTCAAAATTATGTCAAATCTTCGATGCAAAAGTATAAGATTTTTCCAAATAGTTTGAAAAATTTCTTCGAGTTTGACGGTTTTCTGACGTGCTTCATTAAGAATCTTTCCATACAAAACACTCCACTACAGCCATCAACAAGCTTGGTCACTTCGATATTTACCTATATGGCAAATCGATACCTTTCACCTTGAAACATGACACTGTGGGGTGCACAAGCGCGTGCAGTAAAATTAGCATACGCAAAAATGTGGAGTGACACGAAAATGAAACCTCGTGAGAAATATGCCGTCTTCACTTTATCGATCTTGGTGTCGCAGTAATGAATAACAAAAAGAATAATCTTTTTATGAAGAAACTTTTCATATCGATTTTCAGAATATCCGAAATTTATTTCCCGCATTATGAAGAGTCTGCTTGATAAATTCAAGAATATGTACAAATAATGCAATTCCAATAGCGGTCTTTTGATCAAAAGGGGCTATATTCGTTGTATAATGTATCATGATTTATGGACGTGCGTGCATCAAACAATATACGAAACATCGCGCAGTCCCTGCAGGGCATGTTCGCTTAAATGATTTAGCGTGCTACTCCGATCAACCAAATTTAATTTGATTTACCATGCCTGGTTAAACCGCTCTACTGTCGTGACGCACAGTCAAGACTGTGGTTAGATTTAAAGGAAAAGAAAACATTTTTTTTCTATAAAACATTCAATTGAAAGAGAGAGAGAGAGAGAGAGAGAGAGAGAGAGAGAGAGAGAGAGAGAGAGAGATATATACTCTCGTAAAGCTAAAAAATTTAAAGCTTAACGCTTGCTTCTGATAAATTGTTGATGCGCAAAGAATATTGCAAGATAATTTTATACTAAAGCGTTAGAAATTCAGGATAACTGTATAAGGTGAACGAAATATTTAATAAGCTGTGTAATTTGATTAGAATGTACGGAATAATAGAATTGACTTATTAATCTAATTTATTATTAACAGGATAGATGAAAGTTTGAAGCGGAAGAACGCGAATTCGTGAATACACTTAATACTGCATAGAACTTGGAAAGTAAGGATACTACTGTAGTATGCATCAACTACTATCTAGCAGGTTCGAGGACCGGTGCCGCGCAATCGATCGGTTTACGTCTGGCCGTCGCCACTCCGACTACGACGTTGAATTGTCGTTTCGTGTTTGATATGCTACCAGACAATTTCTTTGCATAAATATTTACAATAACTATTTGCACTGATCTTTATCAATCCATAACTGTTTTCCTTAAATTACGCGCAGTGAAATCGCGATATCCTTCGCTTCGTTCGAGAAAAAATACAGCATCTGCTATTTGACGTTCGTGCAAGATGCTGGTATTTTGTTAGATTTGAGACTTGAGCCTTTTCAGTTGTATCGTGAAAAATTTTTTCTGATAGAATTATTATCCTCTCTTACTTATCATAAACAGACACTATTGATTGATAAAAGTTTATTGTGAATGAAATTAATCTCACTATTTTTCTCGTTAAAGAAATACTGGTGTGAATTTAACAGTAACACATGCGTAGTGTTCCGTAAAAATTAAATTTATTTATTTATTTGCACCGGTGATCATGAAAGTGGATTAAAGTAAAAATTTTGATGATTTTTTATTTCGAGATATTTCGACTTTAGAAATCGATATAACACAAAATAAGTGATAAAATCAATTTCAAAAAATTTTTTATTTAGCCCGTTTTTATCGGCACATTTAATCTCTCAACTATTTTATACGTTTAATTTTATTTAAAAAATTTTAATATTACAATTATTTCATGCAATCACAATTATTTGTCACTTTGTAGTGTAGCTTTGTTGTAGATTTCTTCACTTTTAGACTTTAGACAATGTTGAAATCAAATACATGCAATGCAAGGAATAACTGTCTTAACTTTCGATAACTTCGGCGTGAAGTCAAGATTAAATGTAGCGTGTAAATGTAAAAACTTTCTCTATACGTCTTTGTTAAGACGTGTTCCGTTCTGCAAAAACACGTTTAGAACTACAAAACTGACGTGACAATGCTATTATTCATAATTAATACACTAAAAAGAAGAGTGGCGAAATTCAATAGGACGTTTGCGTCTTTCTCTTCCGACAATTTGAATAAACTAACGATTAGGCTCTTTGAAGTTCTAACAAAAGAATTTTTCTTTTCTGTTGCAGATTTGTTTCTCTTTAATTGTACCGCCTTGTAATTGTTTTTTGTTTTCTCTCTCTCTCTCTCTCTCTCTCTCTCTCTCTCTCTCTCTCTCTCTCTCTCTCTCTCTCTTTTATTTGAATTTTTAATATACATTTATTTCATTCTAAACGCATTAAATGTATTATAATGCAATTAAAACGTATGAATATTATATTCTACAAATAAGATCGATTGGTAATCAGAAAATAAGAATAATAAGAAACAGCGTATTATTAATTTCGAATTAGTAACCTAATCATCGGGGCAACTGTAATATTATTGTTATTAAAATTCGTTAATGGCCTGTTTAAAATTAATTAATTACGCGACTCTCGCACTTGCTGTCGGATTTGCGTGATAGCATCGCCGGAATCACGTGTGGATTCGATCTCGCAAAACAAAATATTCGACTCCGAACGTGTCGTTGCGGCGAGCGCAAAAAGGGACGCCAAGAAGAATCGCCGCCATCCGCACGATTTCGAACGGCGTTTTCGACAAATCACCGATGGGCTTCCTCACCGGCGTGAGAGAAATACACGACATGAAGCTCGCATAACACTCTTCTACTTTATCACGCCAAACTTCAGAACGCCAACAATCATTACAGTGCGAGATTCCAGTTGCAAGATTCAAAAAATCGCATATTACATTATCCGAACTGCACAACGGTTCACCCGATATCGCACATACTTTCTAAATCTGTTCCTTAGCTTAATTCCGCGATTCACACGAATAGTACGATACGAGCGTATCTCGCATTGATGCGAATCGCATTCGCGCGAGTACGAACGCGAAAACAAAAGCGCGAACTCACCCTCCAGCAGATGCGCCTTGACTGACGCCGTAATTTTTTTTTTTCCGCTCACACACGACTGCCGGCTATGGGATCATAGAAATAGCAATCGCCGATCGAAATTGTCGAGATTCCCGACGATGACGTCCGTTTCTCGTCCTGCGAGAACAGCGAGAACACGCGTGTCTATTTCGCTTGTCCGTTGCAAAAGCCGACGATACAAAATTTCTCAAAGCTACAAAGAAGGAAAATACGAAACCTTCGCAAAGACGCGGTACGCGCGACTGGCGCTAATACCGGGACGCCACTAGAGAGAGCGTATATGGGAAATGCAGCTGCCGATTTGGGACGCCATCTGATCTATGGGAAGGGTCAACAACTTGGAGTGTTTCGATTGGTTTGAACCGTTTCGTTATTATCAACAAAATGCGAATTTTGACAAGATAGTTCTGCATATACGGCGACAGTGATCCCTTGTCGAGACCTACTTCCGGAAATTTCGCATCTTCGGGTTTTCGTGCACAATGGCCGATTCAAAAAAGCGTATAAAGTAACGTAAAGGTAAGTAGAATAACATGACGTGCAATTTAACAATTAAAGTGCTTACAATAATCGAGTTTAGTAATCTAACACGAAATTTCAAATATCGGGATATTTTCAAGTACCACTTGAGATTTCCGAAGAAACAAGATATCGATATGAAAGAGGAAACTGTTGACGCAATCAAGATCAAATATTTGATATATATAAGAAGTCTGTAATATTCGCGCGCTCATTTATTACGCATTTGTCGAAATGGGTAAATGTTCTTAGAGGATATACTTTGGAATTATCAATAAAAGATAAAGAAAAAATTCGTGATAAACAGCTATTTATCAAACTTGCAGAAATTTTCTTGGAGAAACATGATCTTTAAAATTTATTTATAACAAATCGTAGATAATATTGCATTCTCAGATTTTGTCGTCTCACTCTTGAAGAATGTAAGTCGTGATTAACAAAATTTCTATGTCTTTTATCACTCTTTAGTCTAAAATGTCAAAACATATTTGTGCTATTTGATACAAATCTATATTACATCATATCGTCCACAAGTATATTATTACAAAATCTTTGCCATTATGACACATTTATTACGTTAACATTTAAAAGATACGTCATGAAACATACGATGCGATTAGGTCAACAGCAGGAAAAAAATGTTTCGGTTTTTTTTAAGTTTTAGATTACAGATCTAAGAATGCAGAGAGGACAAGAAAAAGAGAACAAATAATTGTTTATCTGTTTTTAACTCTTCATCGTATATTTGTAATATAATAATCAAATAATAAAATAGTACAAACAAAAGTTTTATATATATTTAGTATTAAAAAGAGTAATTTTGTAAAATTTAGATATATTATAATTATCATTGTGCATTATTAACATTGTGATATTTATATTAATAATTTATACAATTGCGCATAATTCTATACATCTTGAAACGCATAAATCTAAACATAAATAATAATTATAATCCTGTACATTTGATCATTATTGCAGTTACAAGAAGAACAGCTTTGCTGAACACTGTACTTGCCATTCCTTCAAACAAAAGTCCTTCAAAACGTGCGATTGCAAGACTGCACGTATTATCTAATCGTTCTTTTTATTATTTGGCGATTAAATGACAGTCTGCGATCATCATTCATCTATCCTAATAGAAACTATTACAGGTAATACAGTTTGAATATAATATCTGTACATCTATTTTAACGCAATAATTGTATTGCAGAATGCAATTATTCGTTCATTATTTAAATATGTACACATAATCTTATTTTAATACACAATTAGATTTGTGTATACGCTTCAATTATATATCAGTCAATATTAATAATAAAAATTGGCACATTGCGTAAAATGTTGTTATAGAAAAAGACAGGATGTTTTTATCTAAAAGAAAGTCAAACGAAGAATTCTAAAAATAGTACAGTTTCTAAATATTGCATAATGCTTTTTAACACACTTTTATCTTAGAAGCTATCGTGCATATAAATAAATATTAATTTAAGTCAATCCGCAGATCACTAAAAGAATCGTACAACGTTCAATATGACGAGAATCTTCTATCACTTATTTCACTCGATGACTATACACCATGGATGGTCAGATATAACACCATACTGTATGTCCAGTAAATATTTTCTGAGCATTTGATAAACTGGCTCAGATTGTTTTGTTGTTGGTATGTGCAATTCTTGATCCATGAAGTCAATATAAGATACAGGACTGACCACGCATGCTGTACCCGCTCCAAATATTTCCAACAGCTACGGTCAGAAAAATTGATTGTGACAATAGGTTGTTAGGTATTTAAGAAAATGATAAATTGCATATGCATAAATCTTACCCTGTTTTCTGACAGTAATCGCATAATCTCACTCATTGTGATAGACCTCTCCGAAACTTTGAATTGATTCCATTGCTTTGCTATACTTAGAAGCGAGTTCCTCACAATTCCGGGTAAAATTAAGCCATTTAAAGGTGGGGTGAGCAGTTCTTTCTCTGTGAAAAATAAGAATGGTGATAATTAATAGGATTATATTATTAAACAATTCGCCCTTAAGACGATTTTGATCACAGATCAATATTTTATAACTGAAAATTGACCAAAGAATGCTTCTTACCTCCATTATCATTTATATAAACTACGAAAACGTTCATGGTACCAATTTCTGTGAGTTCGTGGTTTTCTCCGTATAGCCATAGTACTTGTTGCAAGCCTTTTTCAATGGCTTCCTGTTGCACTTGTATCGTAGGTCCATAATTACTGCCTAATTTAACGTCGCCACTACCACCAGGCCATGCTCTTGTATATCTGGGATCTGCAAGCAGGGAAATCCCGGCTTGCTGTCCCGAACTTTTAAAGTAATTTCCGACTGGAGACATGATTACGTATAATAAAGCTGAATCGGAAGTTACCACTCCAAGTGTGGGCTAAATAAAAAAAAAATTAAATTAAATTAATTTATAAAAAATTCTTATTAAAACGTAAAGATTTTTTTATGCATTTTGCAGATGAAATTTATATTTATTTATATATGTCTTATTTTATAAAATAAGTAACTCTTTTATTAATATAATTTATTTTTGTTATTAATTTTTTTAGAAAGTACGAGTTTTGTATAAGATTATTGCGGCATTATAGAAATTTATTGCATCAGCATCAATATTACTAGTTACGAAATTACTTTAGTAAACTCATTAATGTACAGCAGATAACGAAAGAAGAAAGAATTTCTCTGAATGTCATCTTATCAGCTTGAGGTCCAACAAATATTCCAAGACAGAACTTATTATGTCGGCATAAAGTAAAAATTAGATAAGATGTTTTTCAAATTTTATTCATGTTAAATCAATGTTACACTTCATAATTAAAAATATTTTAATTAAAAATAATAAAGACAAATTATGTTTTACACATTAATTTATATCAAATATATGAAAAAAATTAAAAACTTTAAATTTGCACATGATAAATCAAAACTATGTTCAAAAAACACAATTGTAAAGGCACGTGCCATGTATTTATTTCTCATGTAGCATCTGATATTCAACAAAAGACTATAAATGAATTTATCAAGTATTATTATATCAAGTATCATGAGGTTGAGAAAACGTGTCTGATATATACAGTACTCTTATAGTTATATTGATGACATCTGTGACATAAGTGATACCAATTCTGTTTCTCTTTTATGTTTATGTGATTTAACGTATAAACAGCTGTTTATCGCGTCATGTATTGTGAAGTATGGCGCAAGTTTTAGTCAAATAAGAAATAACAAGATATAAATTTTTGATAACTTAAATTCTTAATAACAAAGTAGTACTCACATCAATGCCTATAAGCGTAGGACGAATATAAAGACTAGAGGCAGTAGAGTGTGGAACCCATTCTTGATCTATACTAATCAATCTGCAAATGCACTTAATTAATTCTTCTCCTCTGAAGGGAGGTAGACCAACTTTTATTGCTGAATTATTCATTCTCTCCATATTTAGCTCTGGTCTAAATAATCTTATTTTGCCATCAACACCTCTATAAGCTTTCATACCTTCAAACAACTAAGAAAAAATTTACATATGTATTATTACTGCCAAACTAAAGCACATAATAAGAATTTCTAGCTCCATAATGTCAGTATACAAGTCTAATAATCTCTGATATCTAAAACTATTTTAAAATATATTTTATATATTTTGGTATTGACACATTTTGATTTCTCAGAATAATAATAAAACCTTTAAGAACTTGGATTATCGCTTAAAATATTTTTGGTAAAAGATAAAATTTCTTCATGTAACTTAATCTGATAAAAGAAAGCTTATCAGCTTCATTTGTACAACTTATAGTAGAAGATTGATCATGAATCATTCAAGATTGTATTAACCAGGTTATAAAATCAACAATATTATTGATATAAGCAGTATTAAATCATATATTATACGCAATTGCAAAAGAGCAAATTATTTAGAATCAAATAAGCAATATTTTTCCACAAAAATGTAAAAGATATGTGTTAATGATAACATATTAAGTATTGACTAATGAACAAAGAAATTTTTTTAATCCATTTTCAATTTTATCTAATAATAAAATATAAAATTATATATACCTCCACAGCATAATGAAGTACTTTTGCTGCTGGATGAAGAACTATATTTTCAAAAGCCATAATTTCTGGTGTCTGCCAACCATTTATACCTTCATAATAATTTATTTTGAGCATGTGATCAGTAAAATATTTACCGAATGAGAGTTTATTAACGTCAGGTTTAGGATTTAATTGATTTGGCCCCAGCCAAACGTACAGATAAGTCTGCATACTGCAAAAATATAAAAATTGTTTTTTAGTTTCTCATTTAACTACTTATATAAAAAATTAGTACCACAATAAAATACCTTAAAGGAACGCAGTGGTTGTATAGAATTCTTGTCTTTAGTTTTTAAAGAAGAGTTCCATCTTACGTTCTGTTGTAGCTGATTAATCAGATTTCCATAGGATAAAATCTAAAACAGAGAAATATACATTTATTTCTAACTGAAATAAATAAATGCATATTTTTAAGAGAATATTTGAAAGACTGAAATCTCCATTGACCCACCTCGTGTTTAAAACGTGTCATGTTTTCACTAATAATTATTTCTTATAGGATCGAATCACAAGAACATTGATCAAAAAAGAAACAGTATTAGAATTTTCCATATATATCGGCATAGATAACTAAAAATTATTTGCTTCATCGTTTGACGAATCGTTTAAAAATATAAAGTTGTTGTCTGACTACTCTATCTGTCCGCACGATCTTATTTTCGTTAAGAATTTTGAATGAATCCATTCTAATGGATGTTAATATTTATTCTGACAAAACAGTATTACGATCTATGTATTTACCGGTATTCGATGATTTATTACGTAATGAAGAGATAACCGTAACACATCAATATTTGTAAAATGCGTAAATGATTACGAAAATTAGAAATGCTTTTACGCAATTCTAAGTACGTTAATTGATGATTTATCAACAATATATTTAGAAGAGAATAGTAGCGTTATATCAGTGGCACGTGTAATCCGCGTGTTGCGTTCAACGCCATTCATCAGAAACGAATACATATAACTCTTAATGTAAATATAGATTTCTTGATTTTATTTGCTTTCCTACACTTTTATCTCTTTTTTTTTCTTTTTTCGGAAAAATATATATCTGTATTACTTTAAACGCAGCTGATGCAAGAAGTGCAGTCAAACCAGTGAGCTATCTAACATATCGGAGCGAGCCTTGAAAGGGTGGGGATGAGTCACTGTCGAAAAGAGAGAGCTACATGGACGGGGACGTTTCGTGTCCGTCTTCGTTTTAATATCCCCCACCATACACGTAAACGTAAGAAGAAAGACAAACGTCTTCGCCTACCATTATCTTTAGACCGCAAACATTAGTTCTTAAGGGAAAGACTCACTCCAATATGTTACATAGCTCAATGAGTCAACAATGAGTCTTCTCCATTGAGTTCTATTATATAATGGAATAGGCCTTTTCATAAGAATCAAGGTGTAATTTCCGGCCGAAGGAGAGCAATAGTAGGCGGGGACGTTTGTCTTTCTTCTACTTTTTATTACTGCGTATGGTGGGGATATTGAAAACGAAGCGGATATGAGATAGGCGTCCCCACTCAGCAGAGAGAGAGTGAGACTAACTCACTCCTTCAAGGCTCATTCCAATATGCATAGAGCTCTCGTCGTATGTGTTTGGATTAGGTTGGGTTAGAATTTAAGCTCGGGTTAGGTTAATTCGTGAAAAAGCACGTGTGTTGCTGCATGTCACTTGTGTGAAAATGCAATTAGCATATCTCTTATTAATTCGCTTATTAATTCGTTATTGCGCCGTTTGATTATAAATGGTTATACATACCGAACAAATTTGTATATTTTAAAGATAATTTGTAGAAAGCAATTCGTTTAGAATAATTCGTTGTTTACAACGTGTAATTATTGTTATATTTTAAAAGAAATTTGAATTACCGATAAACTTACGGAAATTTTTATTTTTTATTAATATATTTTTTAAGGATATTTATATTTATAATGCACATTACCCACTCAGAACAAAAACCTCTAATGGATATCCACTAGATGTCCATCATGGAGATTCGAAACCTCTATTAGATATCTATGTAATCTCCTATAGATGTCTACTAGACATCGACAGTTCTGCATTACATACCTCCATCCATTAAATATATTCATAGATATCATATGGAGCAATCATAGATGTTCCATAGATATTTCATAGAGCTTTGATGGATTGTAGTTTCAATTCGTCATTAATAAAATTATTTGGAAGTAAAGTCACAAATATGATTGCGAAATAGTCTTGTTTATGTAGATGTTAACAGAACGTCACAACTATGAGATAGTCGAGAACATGGTGACATTCTGTTAACACCTACATAAACACCTACATAAACAAGACTATCTCGCAATTACATTTGTGACTTTACTTCCAAATAATTTTATTAATGACGAATTGAAACCACAATCTTTCTACTAAACAGATTTGTAACGTTAGTACTGAAGATGGCTGAAAGATCAGCCGAAACGTTTGACATCGACGCCCTAACAATATTTGTTACTATGAATACTAATACTTCTATCAAACATCGATAACAGATGTCTAATAGACATTTATGATGGATTTATATCGTTATTTATTATGGAAATAATATGGATTTCTAATAGAAACCTATCTAATATCCATCGTAGAGATAGATGTAGTATGGAGTTATGGGGATTATATGGACGTCCATTGCATGTTATGTTCCGTGTGGGTATATCGTAAATCAACTATTAAATTAATAATTCAATAGTTATTAAAAGAAAGACTTGCGTTACCGTATGTACATGTAAAATGTACGGTGTGTAAACATAATTTCGACGCACATTAAAATCGTAATAATTTAAATTGTATGTGATATATACAAATTATAATAACAAATATTTTAAAATAGAATAATTAATTAGTTATATATTATTACATTTAGCTATACATCAAAGAATGAACAAAAATCGAAATCTTTTTTATTCACTTATCGGACGTTATAAGCAGCATTCAATTTTCCAGCATCTTTATCTTCAGTTTGTGTACATTTTTTTTACTATTTTTAATTTTTAAAAATACGTATATATATATAAAAATATATAAATTGTGAAATGCGCGATAATTTTTTCTGCGATCTGCTGTTAGCTGTGTCGCATTATTTTATTATGCGGCTTCATGCATGAATCATTGATTGTCATATACCTTTTTACTGAAATTATATTTCTTAATCAAACATTTTTTAACATGTTTTAACATGTTTTAACATAAATTTAAAAACTAATGAAAAAGCTTGATGTTTATTTCATTCCGATCGATATTTCAAATTTCGCAAATTTTTGGCATGAAACAATGTGTCGTATTGCATTAGAAGAAGAATTACGCTCTTAGTTTTTCATATTGCATCTCCATAAGAAGAGTGATACAAGTCAAAAATATTAAATTGTTTAGGAGGAAAGAAGCAATTGCGTTAATATTTCCTATTAATAATATTATGAATACAAATAAGTTCAAAAAAAGCGTAAAGAGCCACAATACAGATTCGTCGTGCGAAGGTTACTTTGTATTCTTTTAAAATTATTTACGTTACAAACGTTTCTGCCTGGCATCAGGTCTTCTTCAGTGTACAAAAATAAAAATAAAAACGAAAGAATCGCTCGCGGTAAAAATTACATAGTTAGTGAGATGTAGAAGAAGTATTTTAACTTCCGTTTTACGTTTTTGAATTATTTGATTTTGTCAATCACTAGAGCCTTTTACATCAATTATTATGAATACATTTTTATCTCAAATTCTATCGCAAATTATAAATCGTCTGAAGCAAGCTTGATTTTACGGAAAATAATTTCACATGTCTATGCTTAATTAAACAATAATTTTAAAATTAATTATTTGCGGCTGTATTAAACATAGCGGACTCATGGGAGAAGTATTTGAATTCAATTTATATCACTATTTCTGATTAAAGATTGATAGAACACAATTCGCATAATACGAAATTCGAAAAATTTCGACTTGCGTCACTTTTCTTCCGGGGGTACGATATGATTTCTCTTCTCATATTTTAACGGCTTCGTCGAAAACTCACCTTACGCCGTAGATGAACCATGTTGGGTTGAATAATTGCCGGTTATAAAAACTGAATTAACAAAGAATACACGATGTTTACTGTTTGTTTGCGTTGCCGTGTTTATCCGCGCAGCTCATTCTACGCTCAGTCTCCTGTTTTTTATGTAAACGTCGATTTTGAAAATTCTTTCGAAAGGTCTTTACATCCGGAAAAACGGAAAAAACGCAGATAACAATATCTGAGTCACTGTCTGTTCAAGTATCGCTGATAAAAAGGTGGTTGATGAAAAGAAATAAAATATAGACAATCGGAAACTGAAAAAGCAGGCTACACTGCCTATCTTTCATAAATCACGCACAGATCATACGGAAATTCGGATCGTAATACAGTACGAATAAAGAAAAAATGGAGACGTTTATTCTGACGAAACTCGTTCTTCTTTTCGTTTCGCTCGTTCACTTATTGCCCAGTTCGGTCGCTCGATCACGAATACTACATGTTCGAATTAAGCATCGGTTAATATTTTGTTTATCAGCGATTCACGAAGGAAACAGAAAGGGAGACCGAGAGAGATAGTTAAATAGATAGAGGGCAAATAAGAGAGAGGGAACAATGCTCGCTCTAAGGCTCATATATTTCTCCTTCTCCTACTCAATCCCGCTACTTGCCGGCCGTTTTTAATGACGACGATGGTGGGGATGCAAGTTGATTTTATGTTACGAGGAGGAGTCGCAATTCATACGACATTACAAGAAAAGGGGAGGAAAAATTGCGTCAGGGCACAAGCTCGCGCGCGTTTGAACGGGGCATTAAAAACATGTGATATCGCGCGCTCCCTCCGCGACTGATAAGCGGAAAGCACGCGCGTTGTTTAATAATAAGAAGCGCTTGAGCTCATTCTCTCCAAGAAAGTACATTGGGCAGATAAGAAATATTCATTGGAGGCGTGGTTCCTACGTATGAACTGACGCAATGGCCCCTTTCGTTATGATTTGTAGAAAAATGACGACGCAGCATGTACATATTTTAGTGACGTACGGCCGTTTTTGACGTACGCCCTCTTCCCGTTTTTCGCATAGCGTCATTTCTGCGCACCGGAATACTCCACACGTTGTATCAAATACTGTATCTTTGCACTTAAATGCACTTCATAATTTTAACTCGAATATTGTAAATGTAGGGAGAGGCTTGGCCATTAATATGAATGAGTAAAATGAGAAAAAAGACGTAAATTTTTCTCTAATCAATTTACTATCAATAAATGGTGCAAGAGCATGCATTTGCGAGAGGGAGATAATTAGTCACGCAGAGAGTTAAGATATCGACTTGGTGCAGAAAGAGCTCATTAAAACGTTTATTGTATACGATTTGCAAGGTGACTTTGGACATGTGTCCGATTTCTTTGTTCTTTCTATGAATAATCATAGCCAGGGTCAATCTTAATCCTTTTGACGCCCCTGCATCTTTTGTGCGTCTCTAGTTAAAAAACAAACAGGCCTCTCAAAAATCTGACCCGCTAAAATGAAAGATTACTTTGAGTGGTTAAAAATATTATCTATTTGAATAAAAAGTACGAAAAAAAGAAGGCGTCGGTGTAAAAGCTGTCTTCCGTCGATCGAAGACGCCGGATTCTCACTTGATATCTCCATGCAAAGTTTGTCCAAATATCAGCAAGATATACACTTAATACACTTTTACGGATAATAGTTTGTTGAACTTTATTTATATAAATTTAAGAGATAAATATAATAAGAAAGAACTGCGACATGCAGTAACAAAAAATACAATTACACGTGATTACACCGTGCGAGCAGAGTGCATAATGAATTTCAGAATGCATAATAAATCAAAACATATATTACGTCATGCGATTATTTATTCGCGTATCATCTAAAATGCACCAAGGTTGAAGGTAATCAAAAATATGGCTAATCCTAAAGCATTTCGTTCTTTCTACTTTGAACATGTTTTGTAGAATATCAACTCAAACATCTGTAATACATAAAATCCTCAATCAGTGAAATATATAGCGCTGAAATTGGCGCAGTAATTAATATATGACACCGATTTGCGAGAATAGATACTAAAATATTGACCGAGAAGAAACGATTATTTACATATAATGTTATTGACGTCGAAAATCCCGAATCATCTCGTCTGTTACACCACTTGTGAGATACTGCTGGCTCCAACGTCAAAGCTATGTACATACACACACACACATTTTTTTTCTTTCTTTATCTCAACACAAAGATATTTTATTCAAGCTTTGATATCATATTTGTATTAATATGAATAATCTCCGACTTTCGTATTTAGTAAAAACACGTATAAAAAATCATATGAATTTAATGCAAAATGTATGGAAATTCGCACAACTGCGCAGTCACCGAAAGAAAATGCATTAAATTAATAAATTAAAAAATGTATAAAATTTTTCGAAATACTTTTTTCCAGTTTACTTCTTCCAGTCTTCATTTAATGTATTAATAAAAAGTAAAAATTAAAATCAAAATGTAAAGAAGATTTATCAAAAAACACATCACGATCAATTGGTTGAGCACCCCTGATCTATATCTATGTCCAAATAGTTATGATATTGATAAGTGTGGATTCGGTGAAAATACATGTATACGCCGTTGAATATCGTATGATGTCAAAGTATGTTTATGCATATCAACATAGTTCCAAAGGTAAGAATAAAAAAGATAGAAATGTTGGCATCCTGTCTTAGTCAACAAATGTGTGACGTATACGATTTCCTTAATTAAAACATAGAATTATTGTGAAATAGAATTTTATTTCCATTGCATTATCCAGTTTTCTAACAGATTGTTTTTGCGAATTTTTTTTCCAACAGTGAAGAACATATCGCACACCCGCAAGAAAAGTAACACAAACCAAAATTTTTCGAATTTTGTTTTATGTGCGGATTGTGTTTTACACACATCAGCCTTCAATCAGGAAAAGTGATAGAAGTGGAATTCAAATACTTTCCGCGTGAGTTTGTTACGTTTAATATTGCTGTAAATAAATAATATTATTGTTTAACCAAATATAGACATATGAAATTATTTTCCGTAAAATCAAATTTGCTTCAGACGATTTATAAGTTGCGACAGAATTTGAAATAAAAACTAATTCATAATATTATTAACAGAAAACGTTATTATTAACGTAATTCCTTCTTTCTTCTCTGCTAAACAATTTAATATTTTTTACTTGTGTCACTTTTCTTGCGAATGTGCGATATAAAATATATAAAAATATAAAAAATATATTGTTTGATTTTAAAAATGTATAAGAATATAATTATACTTTTGATTTCTTTATGTTCCGTTTTGATTTTATAATGCAAATTAATTATAAAAATAACTATTTAATATTTTTTATATGAATTAAAACACTATGTAATGCATTGAAATAAATTGTAAATTAGCACATGATATTTCGACTGAAGTATAATAATCACACAATCAAGGGGATTTAATTATCAATTTCAATTTTTATAAAATTATGACATTTCACTTTTCATAGATAACAGTCACTTTTTCTATACATATTTATCGTAAAAATATACATGTCACGAAAAGAAAAAAAACAGCTATCACTCAGTGATGATTTCTTGATAAAAAATACTTACGTTACTCGTTACATGTTACATGTTACCCGTATCACATGTTACTTATATCAGTTGCAAGAAAAAACCTTATACCTTTTAACCTTCGTACAATTACGAGCGATATTCAATCAAGAGTGATGCCTCGTCTGTCTGTGATGACACGCTGTCTTTAAGAATCTATCCTTAAGATAGTACGCTGAAGTAAACTGCACTTGAAACGACTATTCAGCTACACGCTGTATTTAAAGATCGATAGTTTGTTTCGTTTCGCGCAATACATAACCTCTAAAAGTATTTTTTTTAGAATTTGAGCCTGTCAAAAATTAATTGTTTTCTAATTCTTAATGAACAACCAATGGATACAAATATATAATATGGCGCTACAATTATTTAATGGCCGGTATTCATAGTCCGTTCTTATATTCAAGATCGTCTCAAATACGAACTTTTATTCGCTCTCTTTGTCACACATAGATTGTGTCTGACGAAGAGAGCGAATATAAGTCTGTACATAAGACAATCTTGAATATAAGAACGGACTATGAATACCGGCCAATAAGTAGGTTAAAAGATAAAAAATAAATCGATATAAATCAGAAATCGATATAAATCGATATTTTCTAATATATGATATTGAACTGGAATTCTTATGCCCATTTCCACCAATGTAGATTGACTTTAATCTCGGTTCAACTTACTTTTCATCTTTTTCTAGTTTTAAGAATTAGAAAAAGGTGAAGAGTAAGTTGAACCGAGATTAAAGTTAATCTACGTTGGTGGAATCGGGCATTAACATCTTAAAGATAGTTTCACTTAAAGATAGTTTGACACAGCTACACGCGTAATTTAATATCAGATCTCTTCAACACACTATCTTATAAGGCCGGAGCACAGACTTTTACATAAAGCATAACGATAG